AAAAGCACTTCAACCAGCCTGGGAAGAGCACAAGATACTTCTGGCCGTGCTGCAGCCAGAGAACAAGGAGACCAGCAGGTACCAGTCTACAGCTGGGGCACAATAAAACCCTTCTACAAGCTGAGCCAAGAATAATCTTCTTTAAAAGTGCTTTACTACTTGCAAATGTTGTTGCTCTTGTCCAAGTGTTTTGTATTTGCTTCAGTGCAGCTCCATTTTTTTCTTTTCAGATAATTAGGGGCTTACTTTAAACCAAAGGGGATTTCTGGGAGCTCTTTGGGTTTTTAAATTATACAAATGATAGCACTATGATGTTGAATCATATTATTAATTGTATATTTTGTTGTTCTCGTTTCTGAAGTATATGTGTGAAACAAGGTTTTTTATCTCTCAGTCCTTGAATACAAGAAGTTTCAAAAGGTCCTCAGGCAGATTGCAAAATTATTTTTCTCAATTTTCTTAATGTTAAAGAAAAATATAATTTTAATACTGCAGAGTATTCTGTGCTGATAGTTTTACAACATTGTGTATGTACTGTGAATAGAACAAACTTCACAAATTATTGTACTTGAAGCTGGAGCCTTTTCTGTAAATTTTAAACAAAGTGTTCTATTAAATGCCATCTATAAAATGCTTGATGACTTACCTCCTAGGCTGATTTGTGATTTTTCCTGTGCTTTTGAATACCTGGATGAAAAACTCTTTTTTTCGGGAAACTGGTTGGTAACTGAATAAATAGCACTATAATCTAAGTATTGAACACTTCCACATAAACAGTGTTATTTTGCAATGGATTCCTCTTGCTGTAGCATAAAATGGAAGTACTCTCTCTATAAATAAATAATACTCTGAATAAAAGGGGTTTGCAAATGTCATAGTTAATTTATTTCTTAACTGCCAATTTCTGCAATGAATTCTACCAGTTTTCACACTGTGCCCATTGCAAATGGAATTACCTTTGCATTAGAAGATGTGTCTTTCAATGATGCAGAAAAATATATTTGTGCTTAATTCTTATGTTAGCAGGGTAAGAATACATGTCATACAACATCCAATCAATAAAATAAAAACCTGAGTGAAAGTTATGTACAAGTTTTTTTGATTGGACATTTGGAACATTTGGACGTATGCATGCTTATGTCCTAAGTCTGAAATGTACACCTTATGCAGTCCATACCACTCTAAATCTGACTTGGATACAGGTAGTGCAACAGGTTTGCCAAATTATGGTGTCAGTGTCACATTCCTCCCCCAGGAGATGTTCAGACTACTTGCTTTCTTTTTGCTGGGGAATCTGTAGCTTTAGCAACTAATTATTCTCCAGCTCTCGTGAAACCTTTTTATAGGAGTCTTTCTCCAGGTACTTTTTGCAGCAATAGCCTTGCAGGGAGGTAACAAGAACAGACTTAAATATTTTTAATGCTGAATCATCTGTTTATGCATAATATTGATCTGAATGTCAAATTTAGCTGGTCATTAAGGACGGACAGGGCCATCAGAATTATTCTGTGTGCATGCATATGTTTCAGATTTAGACTGCAAATATCCTGAAGAGGGTCTGCATTTTAGTCTAACTTGCCAAACAGTTGCAGAGAAACATTGCTGTGGCGAATCACCCTCTATTGATGTGACATTGAGAACAAAAGGGATTCTGCACTGAGAAGCCATTCACTGATTTTTGTATATTTTTGAGTAGTGGGCATTGCCCACAAAACCACTTCTACCTTCAATGATTACAGAGGTCTGTTGGGTAGCTATAATTTTTTTCACCATTATAGTGAATGGTGATCCATTGGAATGCAAGATTGGCAAGATCTGGATTCCCAGGTTTCATTACTTCCCCTACGATATTTTCTCTAACATTGTTTAGGTTAGTACAAACGTAATGAGCTCTGAATTCACTCATCATGTGCATACATGCCACATTGTTTAAGAAATTCATGCAGCTGCTTCCGATCTTGTACTGCCAGGGTGCCTGCACGGTGCTCTGCTGCTTTCCTGCCTCGGAGTCCCTGCTCTCCAGGTGCACCACTGGTTATGTGCTCCTCTCTCAGATATCTATCCCTAAGGGGAGCTCACTTCTGGAGCCATTTTAGTCTTCCTTTTATTTTTAAAGGGCTGGGTAAGGGCTGTTCAAGTGATTTCTTATGTTGCTACCAGGTTTAGCATCTGGCAAAGAAAGGTCTATCTGTTTATATCTTGATATGCTGAAATTGTGCACGGTATTTTTTCTTTAGATGTTCATTGTTTCATATTGGAAATGCAAATTGGGGTCTATCTGTGATTACAGACACCTTTCACTTCTTTAGCAGAGACTTTCAATTTTAGAGTTGCCCTGTATGAAATACGCATGCTAAGACTGAGCATTTATGGAATATAGGCTTATGCAAAAGGACATTTTGTTTATATTAATAAAAACTTAAAAAATATTTCTGTGTTCTAGTCTGGGACATTTGGTGCCTGAGTGGAGTGCAAGTTATTGTAAAATAAATGCTTTGTATTTATGTTACTTGTTTGGTTGTGGCTCCATAAAAAAATAAGAGTAGCTCTTTTCATCAAACATATGATTACTAGTTCAGATATGTTCTTATTTAGTTACTGTCTGGAAAGATGTTTGCTACATAAAAATACCTTTGAATTTAAAGGCATTTTTGGCTTTTTTAATGAAAAAAAAATTAACTAATGTGTAACTTGCCATAATATAGGAAATTTCTATTGCTGGACGTACTGATGGGCTGAGGACTTAAATCCTCTGAGCAATCAATCCACTGGCTTTTATGAATGCTTAGGGAAAAAAGGAAATATATTACTGGAAAAGAGGAAGAAGTCTTGTTGCAGGCTATGCAATGGCCAAATTTAGAAAGGACATATGTATGGCAAAGTCTCATGTATCATTGCAACTGACTGAGCAGAACAAATGAAAAGAAGAAAAAACAGGAAATAACACTTTTCTTTTAACAAATAGATTTTGAAGAAACACCTTAGCAAGGAAAGAAAATGTATTCTGATTGTGATCGTTCTTCTGCTAAGAAGAACAAGACTTTTGCTAAATATCTTCCTAATTTTAGTGCCAATTCGGCAGGTCTAGCATGAGATAAATCCTTTCTTGGGAGAAGCATTGTGCATTACATGTGCTGATTTATGATAGAGAATCAGCTGTATTTAGGTGATGGCTGGACTAGAGTGTAAAGTTTGTTTGTGCTTAATATACTAGATAAATTGTTCCTGGCTTCTTAGGGTGTGACTATACTTGCTGTCACACTCCCAAGTTTACTCAAGGACTGTGTGATTTGCTGAGTAGGTGTCATGTAAAGGAAAACCCAAAGCAATGGATTTTATATAGCTAGTTTTTCCCCCCTAATTTCATGTTGACAAAAAACCTTTTTTGTCTCTTTTTCCTACCCTTCATCAAAGTAAAGTCTCCTCAAGGCTAAAGGCAAATTTTAGCAGCAAGGAAAATGACCTCCAAAAATCTGAGCAGTATGAAATTTAACACAGTGATTTTGTTCTAGTGAGAGGAAAACACCAGTTACCTGCTGTAAAAAAATTCTGCACTGAACCTTAACTTCATTGGCAGCAGCTTTTAAATCTATTTAATATTCTTATTTCTTCAGTTAAGTTAATAACAGGCTGTGGGATTAAATCTTAACTTTACATATTTACTGGGAAAAGTAGTATAGCAATTTTTGAGTAAAAATGTTCTTTGAATAAATTATCATTGCAAATTGCAGTTTATGAAAGTTGTGAGTATAACCATAATTACAGCCTTGACTGTGCACAATTTGAAATCTTATTTGCTGAATAAATTTGTTTTCATTCAGATTGCATTTCCAACATTTTTAGAAAAGAGTGAATCAAGCCTCACTTACAAAATATCCTACAGAGTTTATTAAGAAGCTCATCTTTGTTTGCTAAATTTGCCTAAAACATAAACTTTTCTTGAATTCGTGAGTTGCTATTTTAGTCTGTTATGAGAGTTTCCTACTCAGGTTTAATAAACCATAGACTCATAAGGAGACTCACAAGATCTTCGATATTATGCCATCTATGTATGCTAAAGTTGTTAAAGTTAAAATTGATTGTACAAGCTATTACGAAAAAAACAGCCATTAGCCAAAATTAGATATATTACTGTAAATTGGAGAGACGGGGGAGAGGTTTAAAGCTCTATCTGGCAAGAGAAGGGTTAAGGACTTTTTTGCTATACCCGTTTCAAATTACAATGAGAAGCCTCTTCTTTCCCAGCAGGGTTGTGCTTACATTAGTCTTTAGATCTCTCTTGAAGAGAGCTGTTATATTTGTGCCTGCTACAGTTGGAAATAACAGTTCAGAAGCTGAAAAGGGTTGAATGGATTTACAGAAGGTTATTTTTTGCAAGTAAATTCATGGCAACACATTAATTTGATTAGTACATGCTTTAGAATTACTTTACACTCAAGAGATTCAAAAGATGTTAAAGTTATCTCCAGGCTGCTGGACAAATATGTGTTACACCACCAAGGTACAGATCAAGACAAATCTGTGACTCAGGATTTTATCTTGGGAAGAGCGCAAGGTGTACGAAGAACTCAGAATAACGAGGGAAGATAACTCTGGGAACTACAATGTGTCAGAAGAACATCTCTTGCTAATACAGCTCCCCACCAAAGACCCGGTTATCTAAGGTTTATATAGGAATGCCTAGGTCAGCTGACAAAATACTGGTCTTCTGCTCCATAAATGCAGAAAAAACGATAACAACAGTGGAAAATTGGAAGTCTGAATTTCAGCTTTCTTAGAAATAACTGCAACCTGACACATTCCATAATATTTAAACAGGGTGGGGGGAGAGGAATCACCAAAGATGTTACGATGTTACGTTTAGAGATGACATTGACATGAAGAATAGGTAAATTTTGTTTTTCAACTACTGGGAAAGCAGACCTCATAGGAACTCAGAACAAGTAGGAGAAAAGTTGTTGGTTTTTTTTTTTTTTTCCTTGTTCTTTTTCTTTTCAAAGATGAACCTAACTGCGCTCAAAGCTTTCGTGGGCTTGCTCTGGAATTGCTGGGTTCTGGTGGGTCACGCACAGGGAGGTTTAGGAGACAATCATGTCCATTCGAGTTTTATTTACAGGAGGCTGCGGAACCATGAGAGAAGGGAGATTCAGAGAGAGATTCTCTCTATCCTGGGTTTACCTCACAGACCCAGACCATTTTCACCAGGAAAGCAGGCTTCTTCTGCACCCCTCTTCATGCTGGACCTGTATAATGCCATGACAAATGAAGAGGATTCTGAGGAGCTGGAGTATTCACTAAAGGGATCAATGGCAGGGGAGAGCAGAGGGATACGAAAAGGATACCCTGCCTCTCCAAATGGATATTCGCGGAGAATGCAATTATCTCGCATGACCCCCCTGACCACACAGAATCCTCCCTTAGCCAGCCTGCACGACACCAACTTTCTGAATGATGCTGACATGGTCATGAGCTTTGTCAATTTAGGTATGTGGAAATATTTTTTGTTTTTGCTCTCTCTGACAAACTGTTAGCCTGCTCCTGTGAAGGGCAAACCTCTCGGCCGAACTGTAACCTGTTCTAAAACAGCAGGATTGAGCCCGGGCTGTGGTGCCACCGGTAAAAGAAAAATCATACGGAGGGTAAAGTAGCTACATTGTAGGTGGCCATGGAAAAAGATTTTTCTCACTGTTTATATAAAGTCAGTTTCTATAACTTCCCTCTGCTGGCTTCTGTTTTCTTTCTTTCATTGATGTAATGAAAATTCTAGCCTTAGGCCAACTAACTCCTTTTTTTTTAAATCTCTAAAAATCAAACACTTATGCCTATTGCTCAGTTATTTCCCTCAGTGTTTTCCTTAAAGCTTACACATGAACAAACATCAGTTGTTAATATTTTAAAGCCTAGAAAGGTATGAAAAGGGAAAAGTTAAACCATTAAAAAAAATTCTTAGGTTATTTGGTGGGGTTTTTTTCTGTTGTTAAGAGTCAGAATTTTATTATCTTTTTAGTTGAATGGCTGGATTTTAAATAATCTGTTGCTGTTCCTTTGTTATTTCTATTTAATAACAACAGGCTGTGTTTTATTATACTGCTATGGTGCTCAGAATCTACAATGGTTCTTATTTTCTCTGTCATAAATAAATTAAATGACAAGTAGAGTATTAAACACCAGAAACATGCAAGCAAAGAATGCTTTTGAAAATTATATAAATTCTGATAGAGACCCTGATAAAACTAAATTATATTGGCTTCTGAGTGTAATAAACATGCTTGCCAGTTACATTGTAGGAGAAAAAAGCAGTTACAGATTTCTTTACTAAAGCACAACTTAAGTCTCATCTAGAAAGCTGCAAATAATTCAAGAAATCCATTTAGTATTTTTATAAGTATTTGAAATGCTGCAGGACTCATAAATTTGGCTAAAAAAGCCACTTCTCATTGGACCGGAATAGCAAGAGATTTAATTGAAAATGTGAAGTTTCACAATAAGCTGGAACAAATTCTGATGAACTCTTGTTTTCCAGGGTAATACTTTCTGTAGAAACTTTTTAACAGCGGCACATGTTCCAAAATACCTTCATTTTATCACACACATTCTGTACTTTTTATGTCTACCAGGTTTTTAGTAAATACTAATACTCCAAATACTAAAATTCTACTAAAGTAACATTCTAGAGTTTATTTTCCATAATAATAAAATCACTTTTCATTTGTTATTTGGCTGACAAGGAGGTGTTCAAGTCTGAGATCTTTTTCCTTATGAGTAACAAATGTCCACACCTCTAAATACATTTGCTTGTTGTTTTTGCTCCGGAAATAGCAGGTTAGGAATGAAATGGAATCTGTTTTTTGAATATGTGTTCCATATCATTAGGAAACAGTTATATATTGCTCATGCATTACTTTTAAATTAACATTGTGTGCCTCGATTTATCCAGAGCATCTGGAGTCAGCTGAATAGTAAATAGTATTTAAAATAGTAAAGTTATACAGAAAAATCAGAAATGCTCTTATCCTCAGCATTAGTCAAGGCATTGATCCTGCAAAAATATTCCTTGTGTGTCCTGAGAAGTACCCTCTGTAAATATATCAGGGACCATTCCATCAGCATCCCTGAGGACTATTTACATGGGACTTAGCCTTTGATTTCAGAAATGTCTTTGATTACAATAGGACTTCTTGCAGTGAATGAGTAGAAGTCTTTGAAGTTTCAGAGTCAGATATGTCCTAGGCTGATCCTACTGTGCTTTCCCAGACAAAAACCTTCTCTGGAAGAACTCAGGTTTCCACTGAGAGTCTTACCTTGGGTAGGAATTTTCTAATATTTGTATTATTTTGTTGGGATGCCAGTGCTGCCTTAAGAAAGTAATTCTGAGAAGCTAAAGCTTATCCTGTGTTTCAAAACTGTGAAAACTGGGACTGAGACGTTGTATTTATCTAGTGATTAATATTAATAGACACCATTAACTTAAAATACTGTGTAAATATCAGGTTTGATTTGGCATCTGTAAAATTAAATTGTGTCTCTGCTCTAAGTTAGTTTAAATCCTAATTCACTTTGAATACCCTTCCATGCAAGTTGGATATTGTGGTATATCACACATTCCATGGTGTAAAATGCGTAAAAAATATTGATGACCAATATAGATTAGCTTCAACGTTTTTATTAAACAATCCTATGTTTCAGTATAATTAACATAAAAATGAAATAAATCATGGAAACAAGTAACCATTTTATATGATTTATGCAGTATGAGATTGTGACAGATGAGGGCAAGCTCTTTTAATGGAGAATGGGGAAAAATATGCAGTGATAAGTGAATGCTAATGCTGTACCTTAAAATCAATAAATGCTGATGCAGCAGAGCAATAACTCAAATGGATTTAGAATTGAAGCCCCAGACAACTTGCATCAAATAAATCTGCTCTGAAAATAGTATTCACCATGTTCATACTTGCACATCATTAATTACATAATTTGTAATTATAAAACTCTATTAATCATCATGATATTTTAAATTGAAACTTTTGTGTATAGTTGTACCAGTTATAACAATTTAAGATATATATATTGAAACAAGAAATATGTAGCTGAGAGTTTGGATAGAAATTATTAAGCATAAGAATTGAAGAGACTGAAAAAGATTAAAAAGTAAAGGAAAAATTGACAAAAGCAAATAATTCAATATTAAAGAATAAAAAATTAAACTCTTATGCTAACTTTGATTAAAATCCCAACCTGTCAGAGCTGCAAATACCTCACTTTCAAAAACAAATTTAGAAAATAGTTATCAAGGGAACTGCAATCATAATTCTGTCAAGCAACCAGGGAGAAAAATAAGAATACATTTACTTTTCCTGAAGTTAAAATTGTAAACACCTGCTTTTTCTACTGGAATTTATATCAGAATTTCCATATCTTTCTTTCTTGAAAGATACAACAGGACAGAGACTTTGTCTTGTCTTGTGTTTTGTATAAGACTGTGTGTGTTGGCAACTCGCCATAAATATTGATGAGTGTAACAGAGAAGTTAACTGGGTTTGGTCCAGCAGTCAAAGAATAAATCCTCCACTAAACACACTGGGGTTTTCAAAGATCTGATTCTATCACCTTCAAATTCAGAACTTTGTTTTCCTGACTGGGTGTTTTTTTTTATCCTATTATAATATTTTATTGTCTTATTGCAAAACCCCGGCTCTTTAGAGTTCTGGCATCTTCTTTTTTGGCTGGTCTCCCAAAATGATATATATATAGGATACCCCATTTCCCAGAGAACAGGCAAATAATACTTATGCAGTCCAACTCACTTTTTTGCTCACTCAAAATTTAGTTAGGGAAGGACTTTTTTAAGATAAATGTTAGTGTTCCCACTCTTCACCTCTTACAAAAAGAGGGGGATTGGATAAAATAGATCTACATGGATGAGGCTTGGAAAAACAGCAGCCCTTTTGCAAACTACATTTAAACATTTCAAATACTGATTTTTTCATTATCATCAAAGTGATCATTAAATCCACTATACTTAGGTGTTTCTTCTCAAGCCATTCCAATGGTCTGTATTTTCATTTTTTTACATCACATCTGTTAATTTTTCTCGTAACAGATTGCTACATTTGCTAAGCGAGCCTGTTTGCTTTCTTCATCTTTTCCTGTTAATTGATATGAACCTTCCATAAAATGGGAGATATATATCTACTTTTGTAGTTTTCTGTTATGTTTTCTTTTTTAGCATATAAAATTAATTTCAAAAACTTGAATGTGAAGATCACAGTAAAATTTGTGACCCCTGATATACATGTGCTAAGAAGGATACAATAATTACTGAGATTTTTAAAGTAACCAGCCCACCTCAGAAAGACATTTTTTCTTCTTCACAGACAATGTGAATGATTCCACAATCTTAGAATAATTTTGAAACCGCATGTGCTGTGTTCAGTTCTTAAACCAGACACTGAAATCAATGGAAATTTTGTCTGAGGCAGAGAAGACTGTTCATATTTCTCCAGCTTCTCTATCCCAACTTTGAACACTGTTTTACAGATTATATGCTTCTTTAAAACCTGAATCATTAAGTAAATACATAAATTCAAAAGATTTATAGCCCATTGTGTTCACTGGAGAATGCTAACATGATATAGAACAAATTTTACAGCTACTTTGAGAAACCTATAGTACATCAATCCACACCAAATACCTGTAAAAATATATTTTTGTTACACATGAAAAAGAAAGTATTCCTTACTGCAATTAGACCCTGAGCATACATAGTAGCTCGTTTCTTAAATTAAACTAATTCAGTTTCTACAACCTTCCACTCACAGCTAACATATCATCAGCGAGGAATATGGAGTGCTAAGCTATAAAATGCCAGGAGCTGAGGAAGGGGTTTGAAGGATACATGCAAAAAGGCCTCAGGATCATTAACTTCTCTCCTAAAGCTCAGGAATGAGCACACTTTCTTTCTTTTCCACAGGATTTCAGATGCTGCTGTCTTAATTTTAACCGTACATGAATTTCTTTGGCTGTGGTACAGTTTTAGTGTATAAAGCCAGGCTTCTAATGAAAATATTGACACAGCCTTAGCTGAAGTGATGGAAAGAGCACTATTATCTTGCCTTGAACAGAGGGATGCTATTGCAGAGATAAAGCTTGTTAAATTACAAATAGACCCCACGTCTTTAATTGTGGAATTGGATCAATACTGAGAAAAAATGAGAAAACGTCTGTGAAGCTTTTATTCAATGGCAACCCCAAGTCAATAGGGTGTCATTTTTCACTGTTTTACATAACATTTAGAGCAAATTAGATCAAGGAGGTCTCACTTAATTTTCATTCGAAGTAGACATCACTTGACATCTCGAAATTCTAAGACTTTTTTTTCCCTTTATTAAATTTTTATCACCCAGTGAGTGAACGGAATGAATTTCATGAGACCTAGTACAGTCAGGCATTAAAAATAACTATGAATTATGAAATAATTTTCT